TGGGGACTCTCTGAGAAAGCCGCCCGCCCCGCTGGAGCGCGTCCCGCCGGCGAAGAGCAGTGCAGGGCGCGCGGAGGGGCCGGAGGCGGGGCCGCGGTTGTTTACCTCAGGCCGCGCGGCCGCGTCACGTGGACCCGCTGGAATGTGCGGCTCGTCGCCGCTTCCCATTCAACCGCGCGGATTCGCCCCGCCCCCGGCTCCGCCCCGTCCCGTTCGGCGGACGTCGTGGGCGTGGCTGCCGGCGCGTGGGCGGGGCCGAGCGCCAGGGCGCGGAGACTCGATAACCTGCGACAACCGAGGGTTTCCGGGTCGCTTCCCCTACGTCGGCCCAGGTTTGGGCGGGTGCTGGCTTAGGCGCTGCTGCAGCCGTTTGAGGCCGGGTGGGCGCCTCTGGGAGCGAGATAGAATTCTTTGAAAGCGTGCGTTTGGAATGCACGGTAAGGAAGGCTGAACGCTGCCTGAAAACCTACATGGCCTCTGTATGGCCAGTGACCACAGTTGATGTCCGCGTTTATCTCTGCCCTTTTTATTAACTTCGTTAAAACGTTACTGGGCCGTGATGCCTCCTGTCCACTCCAGGGCTTTGCTGTCACCGGAATCCGAAACCAACTTTTCTGCATCCTTAACCCTGTTGGGTTAGAAAATACATGACTGAGAAGCGTTTCAGTCACCTTATGTGATGCCACATGCCCCACATGCTCCTGGGGCCTTTTGAGAAGATGACCACTAACCATAGATCAGAGGCAAAGAAATTCGTGATGCCTTCCAAGCTTTGTTGGCATATTGAAGACATGTCTACCTAGCAAGTAGTAGGGGCATACCTTCATTTTTTTGTGATTGATATGATTGCACCTAGATAACAGCACGTTTTACCGAGTGAAGGTTTCTGGCAGCCCGCAAGTCTATAGATGCCATTTTCCTAGAGCCACATGGTTGGCACTATTTTGTACAAGTAAAGTATCTTAAAATTTTATTTAGATAGAATACTATCTCACTCAGCAGACTGTAGTACATTGTAAACATAACTTTGATGTGCACTAGGAAACCAAACTATTCTTGGGCTCACTGTTTTGTGATATTTGTTTTGTTGAAGTTGTTGGGGGCAAAAAGAAAATTTCATGTTGCCCCTCCAGGGCCTTATAGGCTGGCAAATAAGCGTCAGAGTGAAAAGAAAATAAAGTTTCATTATAATAATTTGAAAAACTTAAATATCCCTGTGTACATGGGGTAAACCAAGTAATACTGAGTAACTCAAAATATTACAATTTAAATCACCACCTTACATAACTTAAGCTAAGACATAGAAGAGAGATAGGCAACAAGCCTATGATCTTTGTGCAGATTTGGGTTTTGCCTTCCCATAGGAAAGACTTAGAAAAAAAGTTTAGGTCTTCTAGTAAGGTGAAGGAGAAACCCTCACAAAGGGAAACCTTTCCTTTACACATGTAAATACCTCTTACAGTAAAACAAAACCCCAGGCACCCTCTACCCAGTCTTTTGAGATCCTCCCATGAAGTATCTTGTGTCAAAGATCATTTAGAGGTGGCATATTTTATACCCCTACATAGTGGTGTGAAACCAAACAAACAATATCAAGTATGCCTGTGGCATGCTCTTAGCAGGCTGCTTTTGCTATTTTCTGAGCTCTTATCAAATGCTAAATTGACAGACAATCACATTGAACCCAGAAGATATCCTACTGTTTTAGAGCTGGAAAAGCTCATGGTGTATGCCTCCCCTATTCTCCACTGGAATGTAAATTACACAGAGACCTTACAGGAAGACCTTGGAACATGGAAAGACCTGGTCTTGTTTGCTATAATAGTTAGATCCCTTAGCACCGTGCCTGCACATAGTTGGAGCTAATGAATGGTTATTGTGTGAATGAATTAATGGAAAACGAGGCCCTGAAATTTCTTAGACGGTAAAGAAACCGAGAGTTATGATACCGGTCTCTTGACCCTAGCCAGGGCTTTTCATTTGCCATGGAAATGTTAGGCAAATGGACTCACTGGAAAGTAAAACAACTATGTAAACCATCTTTTCAGCTCCAGGTGACTATCTTGTTGGGAGCTCAGTGGCTCTGGCCAATCAGAAAATGGAAATTTTGTAGAGTTTTTTTCCTTGAATTTTGAGGTGACTGTGTAGATTACACTGAATTCTACAATTAGCATTTCAGTAGCTGTTGTTCTGAAGTAGGAAACAGCAGTAAGATAACCCTCAAATAGTATTTACTGAGTTCTCATGGTGTACCTAGCAGAGCTAGCATAATAGGAACCTAGAGGGAGATGAAGAAACTTAAAATCCTTAAGCAAGAATTGTTACAGGAAACAATCAGCGTGTAAGCCAAAGGTGTGAGATGAAAGAACTCACCAAAGACAGTGACGAACAAATATGGGGGGTTTACTGAAATACACTGTTAAGCAGCAAGCAAGACTGGAGAGATGAACAGTGGGCAGAGTCCTGAGGCTTTATACTCCAGGTATCAAGGACTGGTTAAGATGACTAGTCTTGGGTGTGTCCTGATTTATGATCCAAATCAGCTTAATGGATCATCAGCTTAGCAGCCCAGTTCCCAAAGCAGTCCCATCCACTCCCTCTATCCATTCAGGCTTCCCAAACTTGATTACTGGGCAAGGGAGTGGGGGCTTATTTTTTAAATTTTGTCATGATAATACCACGAGAATAGGTTTTTAATGGTTTGGGTAAACACTGGGTGGGGTAAGGGTGATAACACTACAGCGTGAAAAATAAATGTGCCCATTGTAAAGGGATCCAGCCATCTGTGTGCACAGTGGCAAGATTCTTAGAATGATAGACCTTTACTGTAGTTATAATTGCAGAGAGGGACTAAAAGGGTTTTTTCTAATAAAAGTTTTCCCAAAAGTACCTCAAATTATCCATCCTGTCATGGGTAACTACCCAGCCAACCAGGCTTGATTTGAAGGGAGGCTGCTGAGGCCAAAATCTTGGAACAAGTCTCAGGTACCTTCTTTCACAGAAATATAAGAAAGAGATGAGGCAAGTCTGGGATCAAAGGAAGAGCAAAGTAAAAACACAAATCAAGGTAACAGCAGCCTCTGTCAACCTTTCCATATGTCTCTTCCTATGTCTTTTCCAAGATTCTAAACATGTCTGTTCTTCACAAGTCTCCAGTTCCCCCCAAGTCCATGGATACAAGTTATAAAATTACATATTCTCTGCAAGAATCAATGTACACTCTGAATTTAAACCTGAAAGTGTTTCTGAAGGAAATGATAACTTCAAGAATGTCAAAGCAGGGAGAGTTGCCAACCTTGGAAGTGGGAGTTATTTTCTGCCCTTTACTTCTAAGAGAAGGCAAGACCTGGCAAAGTCATATAGCAAAGAAATTTGCTATATGGGGGGGAAAGGGAGACAAATCTGATTCCTTGGTATTCCATCTGTAAAGAATTCCTAATGATTCTATTCTAGAAAATCATCTGGTCAGTATATTTTGGTGCTAGATAGAGAACTGGCAGAACTTTAGGAAAGTAGGATTCTAAACCAAAATTGCATAGTCATTGAACAGGCTAGAAACAGGAAATTTTAACAAGTACACACAAAAGGTAGCAGCAACATAACCAAGAGTTTAAAACAAAGCAAAAAGGTTTGGGTGGTAATTGATGAATATTTATTGAATACCACCTATGCTCCCAGCATGGTGCCCTATCCAGAGAATTCAGAAATACTTCTCTGTCTTGCAGCCCAGGTAACAGAAATCTAGCACCAAAGCCATCTTTATATAATTTATAATGCCAATCATCACATGGTTTGTCAAGACATAACACATCTAAGCTTAGCTGTATTGTTGGAAAGGTCCCAACTTCTTACCCAAATAGAACTTAAAAACACAATTATTTGGCCCTCCCTGGTGGTGCAGCAGGTTAAAGCACAGCACTAAAAAGCTAAAGCCACTTCAGCATGAGTTTGATCCCCACCCTGGAGAGGTGACCCACATGGTGTGGCAGACCTCTCCTGATCCTCCTGCTGCTCCCCTCAGCAGTGTACTTCACCAGTCGACCTGTCTGCTCCCCACTTTGTCTCTGGCGAATCCTCTCTGCTCCCTACTCCATCTCTGGCAAATCCTCTCTGCTCCCCACTCTGTCTCTGGTGAATCCTCTCACACCCCTGCACCTCTGGCCTGTACCCCAGTTCTGTATGCATAAATAAATAAATCTTTATAAAACCACATTTATCTATTTATTCACATATAAATGTTCATCTCTCTGTTAACCCAATGTAAAAATTTCAAAAATTCCTGCAAAACTTTCATCACTGAGACCTTGTGGTAGTGGCATAAAGATAAACATATAGACCAATGAAATAGAAGTGTAAAGCTTAGTCGAGAAGTGAATCCATAAATTCACAGTCTATTAACTTTGACAGGGGATCAAGACAATTAAATGGGAGAAAGAACAGCGGTACTGAGACAACTGGATATCTGCACACAAAGATTCTTTGTCACATGAGACTCTGCCCCTTCCACACATGTCTTACAAAACAACTCAAAATGGATCAAAGGTAAGAACTAAAACTAGCAAGTTCTTAAAAGCAATCATAGATGAAAATTTCAGTGGATTCTCGGGTGTGACACCAAAGTACAAATACCAAAAAAACAAAAAACCCAAAACTCAGAAATGTTAAACTTCATCAAAACTAAAGCTGTTCTTTAAAGGGCATGCCTTAAAAAGTGGGACGATATAAGTGGGAGAACATATTTGCAGTTTATGTGTCTGACAAGTGTCTTGTAAAAATAAAGATGTCTTACAATTCAACAATCAAAAACCCAGTTTTTTTTTTGATGGACAAATAATTTGAATAGACATTTTGCCAAAGAAGATGCACAAAGAGGCAACAGGCACATAAAAAAAAATACTCAACACCATTAGTCATTAGGGAAGTGCAAATCAAAATCATTGTGACAAATACTTCACACCCGCTAGGATCAAAAAAAAAAAAAAAAACAGACATCAGAAAGTGTTGATGAAATTTTGGAGAAATTAGAACCATTTATACATTGCTTATGGAATTGAAAAATGGTGCAGACACATTGTAAAAACAACAGCGATCTTTAAAAGGTTATGTTTAGAGTTATTACATGACCCAGCAAATCCACTCCTATGTATGCAGCCTACAGACATGAAAACCTGTGTCCACACAAACACTTGTGTATCAACATCCATTCATCACAGACAAAAAGTGGGAACAGCTCATTTATCCAGCAATACAAAGACATATTCCACACAATGAAATATTAGTTATAAAAAGAACAAAGTGCTGATACATATTACAACATGAATGAAGCTGAAAAACATTATTCTAAATAAAGAAACCAGACCCAAAAGTTCACATATTGTACCCTTCATCAATATCACATGTCAAAGTAGGTAAAATAAAACAGGTTTTTAATCCCCTGGGACTGGGAAGAAAGGGAAGAGGGCCACTATCAATAGCAATGTATTTCTTTAAGAGATGATAAAAATGTTTAAAATCGGATTACTGTCATGAATATGCTAAAGGGCCGCTGAATCAAATATTTCAAATAGGTGAATTTTATGGTATGTGAATTACACCTAAATGAAGCTGTTAAGTAACTTACTATGAACC